TGGTGACAGGTGCCTCTAGTCCCAGCTACTTGGGAGGGTGAGGCAGGAGGATCTCTTGAGCATAGTTCATTGCAACCTCTTTGAGGTTGCAATGAACTATGATGCCACAGCACTCTACCCAGTGTGACAGAGTGAGACTCTGTATCAAAAAAAAGAAAGAAAGAAAAGAAAAGAAAACTAAAAAAAGAAATAAAGCTCTGACAAAATCATTGCAGAGAAAATACAAATAAAGAGCATTAAGAAGGTAATGAGGGATGGAATTACAGTTAAGAAAGGATTTAAAAGATAACTGAATACTATTGAAAATATAAGATTGCAGCTGAGACATATTTCTAGGAGACTACTGCATATTAGAACTGATGTTTGGAAAGAAAAAAAAGGTAGAAAATTCTATAAATTGTAGAAAAATGGAAGCAGTGATTAGAAATCTAGCCACAAGGAAACTGTAAGGTTTAGATGTTTGTAGGCAAGTTCTACCAAACTTTCAAAGGACACGTTATCTCAGTTTCATACAAACCCCTCCAGACATTAGGAAAATCGAGAATACTCCCCAATTCATTCTATAATCCCAACATCAAAACTAGGCAAAGACATTGTCAAAAAGGAAAATTACAGGCCAGTTTCATTTATGAATGTAGTTGTAAGAATTCTGACTAAAATATCATTTCAATGACTTATTTTTTCTTTTGTGAAGCAGGCCTGAGCTTCACACCTGCCTTTGTGAAGGGCTTCACAAAGCCTTCACACCAGGCTTTGAACCTGCCCACCCCTGGAGCACAGGCCAGCACTCTAACCACTGAGCTACAGGGACCCTGACTAAAATATTAGTAAATAGAATCCAATGCTGTGTTAGAAAGACAATACATTTTGACCATGTTGAATCTTATAAGAATGTTTTAATCTTAGAAAAGAATCTTAGAATATTTTAATCTTAGAAAAATATATTAATTAATCCCTTTAACAGATTAAAGAGAAAAAACATTTGATCAACTCCATAGATGCAGGAAAATATTAATAAAAATCAATGTTTACTCATGTTTAAAGTTCTCAGTAAGTTAAAAAGAGATAGGAGTGTCCTAAACTCGGTGGAGAGTAACCTATAGCAAATGTGACCCTTAAAGAGACAGACTTGGAGTCATTTCCTTTAAAATCGGACACAAGACATCCAGCCTTCTTCCGTTTGACATCGTATCAGGAGTTCTAATCAGTACTGTACAGCAAGGGAAAAGTGGGAGCAGAAAGATGAAAAAGAGCAAATGAAGTTGTTTGTCAGAGATGACACGATTGCATACATTAAAAACCTCAGTGAGTAGGGTGCCAGCCATATACACCACAGCTGGCGGGTTCGAGCCCACCCCGGGCCTGCTAAACAACAATGACAGCTGCAACCAAAAAATAGCCAGGTGTTGTGCTGGGCGCCTTTGTCCCAGCTACTCGGGAGGCTGAGCCAAAAGAATCACATAAACCCAAGAGTTTGAGGTGAGCTATGACACCATGACGCTCTACTGAGGGCGACAAAGTGAGACTCTGTCTCTAAATAAATAAATATTAAAAAAGAAATAAAAACCCTGTACCAATATTACCAATATTCAGAGAGTTTAGCAAGATGGGTAAATAGAAGAATGATATATAAAAGTCTGTTGCATTTCTGTACAACAACCAGAAACAAGGAGGAAATTTAATTAAGATAATATTCACAGCAGTATCAAAAAATCTCATATTTCAAGGATTAATAAAAATTTGCAGTACAGGGTAGAGACAATTACAAAACCTCACTGGAAGAAATGTGAGCACACAAATTCGTGGAGAAATATACCATATTCACACAGAGCAAAGGTCAGTAAGTTTTTCCTCCTAAGGGCCATATAATAAATATTTTAGGCTCTGGGCCATATGCTATCAGTCTCTGCATTTAGCTCTGCCATTTTATCACCAAAGCAGCC